TGTGTTTAGAATCTGAAGCGCTGACCAGACTAATCACAGCCCCCACAAGCTGCAAGTAATTTGATAGAGTAAAATGAATGCAGAAAGCATAAAGGACAATCCTAGGGTTTCCTTACTCTCCAAGCGTCATTAACGTCCATGGATATTTTTGGACTTTCATATGTACAAGCCTTGTTAGTCAGAGTTGGAGAAGTTGCCTGGCTTCTGTTCACCAAGTAAAATAAGAGCTAAACACCAATAACAGACACAAGCTCCAAGTGTCCCTCCCCATCAGTAATCTGGCTTTCTCTTCCTTTGCTGTGACAGGACCTTCTCTTTTCACGAAGTCAAGAAAACACGCTGCAAATCACTGCATCTGTGACCTCTGGTCCTCAGTGTATTCCCTGTTCAGTGGCTCAGAACAGGACTTCCTAACCACGCAAGACTGGAGAATTCACAGCTCACTGGTTAAGGTCAAATAAATACAGAATGTCTGTGTACCCGCCGACAGGCTGTGTGGTGAGATTGATGCCGTGGGTCCTGGGACATAAATCATGGCACCAGGCCATCAGTTACCTAAGAAAATGCAGCGTGAGGAACCCTGTCACATACACGTGACCGTGTCTGTGGCGAGAAACCTGTTCCCTAACACATACAAAACGGCGTGTTTGTATAACCGCGGCCAAACTTGTCTCTCCTCAGAGAGTTCTGATATCCTCATTCATTTAAAAATATTATATAGCTGATCTCATAACAGAAGCACACTTATCAAATCAGTGATACTATCACACCTGGAATCCTAGTCATGAAAGGGTATTTTGTTCCTTTGTTTGTGAAACATGTTACAAGGCCTCCCGGATTCACCCAGAACAATACACACAGGATGCCAGCCAGGATGTCACAAGACAAATTCTAAAGGAAGAAAAAATATATATATATAAAGTCTGATCTCAATGCAGTATATCCCTACAATAAGGAAAAAGACCCTCACTACGGAGGTGAGAGACAAACCACCAGGATTTATTGTGGATTTCAGAAGTAAAGTCAGGCAAATGTAAATTTTTAGCAGGCCACCGAGGCAGTCCTTAAAAGTAGATGTGAAATCTGGCTTATTTCAAAGTGTGGAGTTATTACCCAGTCAGGAAAATAAGACTGGGTCAAAATATCCCTAATATTACATATTTGGCTATATATATATACATATGAAACAGGCACAAAAACAGAAGAATATGTCCATAAATGCATTTATAAGCAACTCTACATTATGGTCTGCTCAAAGGCTAGGTTCTCACACATTTTCTCTTCACTTGTTGATCTACCCTTAGTCACTAAGTATTTTCATCAAATTGCATGGTTTAGAAACTGCAGTTAACTGGGAGACTCCTGAATCCCTACCTACAGTGTTTGTAAACCCTTGAACTCTCCCCACCCTGTGCTCCCTCCTGCCTGGACACCTCCCGGCGAGCTCGCCCAGGGCTGCGCCCCTCCGCTTGCCTCTGGACTTGCCGGCGTCTCTCCCAGACACAAGGAGCGGGGCACCAAGGCCCACGACTGCATGGGGATGGCTGTATCTCCCCAGCCCCTTGTCCCATGACCTCTATGTGGTCAGGAGGCCAGAGTGTCTGAACCGAGGTCAGGAGCAGCCTGTTTGTTAGGAATGTGTATTCTTTTATTTTCATCAGCACATGTTCTATTTAATGTATCTTCCCTAAGTGTACCTTTCCCTCTTTCTAAACCGAGTTAATGACTCTCCATTTCCCAAGTTGCTCAGGCCCACACCCACCGCATCCCTGACTCTGCACCTGCTCCTCCCTCCAGCAGGACAACTTCTCTCGTCTAAATGAAGGCAACCGCCTCCCGTGCATCCCCTGCGATCACCCCACCCTCTAGGCTGGTCCCTGCAGGAGCCGGGGTAACACTTTCCAAGTGTATGTCTCATCCATCACTCCCTGCTCAAAACTCTCAGGCCCCTCCTTCAGGGTTAAGGGAGCATCTGTGATTCCATCCACGACTCACAGGGCTTCATGTCCCCTGGTCCTGAACCCCCTCCAAACTCAACCGCATCCATCCTTTGCTCTGAGCAGCCCTCTGGCCTCCTCGGTCTTCCTCAGAACTACAGAGGACAATCCCATCTCCCACTGTCTCACCCACTTCGAAATGCCTTCCTGTGTTAGTCACCCACCTGACCCACTCAAGGCTTTGCTCACAGTCCTGTCACCAAACAGTCCCTCATCATGGCCATGGCCCGAGATGGCCTTTCAACTTGTGTTAATAAAGTGAAACTGCAAACCATCAATCCATTTTACTCACCCTGGTTTGAGCAGCTGGAAGTAATTCTTAATTGACGAGCAGAGTTATCATTATTAAAAATGAGGCTTTTGTATTCTTTTCCTGATTTCACAGTTTTAGAGGCAACTGAAGATATAAGCCAAAGTGATATCAGCTCCTGGATTTGAGGAAGTAGGTATGCCTTTCTGGGAAATGTCTCAACCCTAATGACAAGAGATGCGAGGACATCCACATCCCTCACCCCTCTGGCAGCTGCTGAGCCCTTTTGAGATGCCAGGAGCTGGTGTAGCCGCATTTCACCAGAGTCAGGCCATCTCATAGGCATGAGAGCAGGAGGGTGGACATGCTGAAGGTGGAGGATCAGATGGGAGGAATGCTTCTGACTCTGGGACGCCATAAGCTTCCAAGCCAACCACGAAATCACCTTGTCAATATTCCCTGGACAATTCAGTTTAATGCAGGTTCCCCAGAGTCTGATAGGGTGGGTATTCCTGATAAAGGTGTCCTGGTTTGCACAGTAATTTATAAAGATCTCACCTTAAGATAAAGTCCTGGCTAAAACACAGAATATCTTCAGTTCAGTTCAGTTCAGTCGCTGTCATGTTCGACTCCTTAGGGAGTATGCATTCAAACTCTGCTCAATTATTTAACAGCTGTGAGACAGGGCGAGCTTCTAGCACACAGTAAATTCTCAGTACATGCTAACTATTGCTATTTGGACTAGAGTGTTAGGAGCAGAAAACTGTTTTATAGGCAGGAAACAGTTGATAGATTATGGAAGAAAAGACTAAGAATGAAAGGAAGTAAGGAGGGAGGGAATAAAAAAATGTAAGTTACCAACTTTAGGAAAGAATCAGATTAGACAAAGAAAAGAAAGAGGAATGATTCACAAGTTGGGTCTACACAAATGAGGAACTGATGTTATCCACAGTGAAAAAAAGAGAAAATGCTTTTAGGAAAGAGACTCAAAGTGCTGATGACAGTTCTGTAAACATAACACATAATTTACCAATCTAAAATAATGGTATTCCTGGAATATATATGACTATCAAGCAGTGCATTATCATTGTGAAAATCTAGAAGTCGCTAGAGCCTCTAAGGCTCTAGAACCTCCTTTGAAAGACCAGTTCTTACAGGGCCTTGGGTGTCTCCAAGTGTCCTGTGGAATAATGTTAGACTAGGTGATTAGCTCAGCCTTGGATCACTGAATTTTCCTCCTTTTCCTAGAAGACACAAGGCTGGGTAATTTGCCTTAAAATGCTCAGTGTAATCAGTGTGTGCAACTTAATACCCCAGAGAGTTTAATTAACATTTGAATCCCTCTATTTGGGGTCCTCAGTCCAAAAGTCATCAATTAGCACATGAAGGACTTTAAAAGGAACCAGCACCTTAAAACTTGGTCACTTGAAGAGTCTTATTGTTTAGTTGCTCAGTCATGTCCAACTCTTTGCCACCCCATGGACTGCAGCACACCAGAGTTTGCTCAAACACACGTCCATTGAGTCGGTGATGCCATCCAACAATCTCATCCTCTGTCGCCCTTCTCTCCCTCCCTCATTCTTTCCCAGCATCAGGGTCTTTTCAAATGAGTCATCTTTTGAATCAGGTGGTCAAAGTATTGGAGCTTAAGCTTCAGCATCAGACCTTCCAGTGAATATTCAGGATTGATTTCCTTTAGGATTGACTGGTTTGATCTCCTTGCTGTCCAAGGGACTCTCAAGAGTCTTCTCCAACACCACAGTTCAAAAGCATCTAAACCATTTCTTTTGGGTCCAACTCTCACACCTGTACATGACTACTGGAAAAATCATAGCTTTGACTATATGCACCTTTGTCAGCAAAGTGATATCTCTGCTTTTTAAAAGCTGTTTAGGTTTGTCACAGTTTTTCTTCCAAGGAGTAAGCCTCTTTTAATTTCATGACTACAGTCACCATCCACAGTGATTTTGGAACCCAAGAAGATAAAGCCTGTCACTGTTTTCATTTTTACCCCGTCTATTTGCCATGAAGTGATGAGAACAGATACCATGATCTTTGTTTTTTGAATGCTGAGTTTCAAGCCAGCTTTTTCACGCTCTTCTTTCACCTTCATCAAGAGACTCTTTAGTCCCTTAGTGTTTAATGTGTTCCTATTGAAATCTAACCAGGAGGTAGGTTATCATAAAGGCTGTGAGACTCCCTTGTTATTAATGAGATGAGTGGTGTTGAGAATGCTAATAAGGATTATCGTACAGACACTGGCAGTCCAGTAGGCCGGGGCCCTGGAAGCAGCCCCTGGCCCTAGAGGTCCAGTGGCCCGGAGTCCAGTGACATTGCAGCGCGGACTGTGAGCCAGCCCTGCTTCCAGGCTGCTGCTGGCCAGCCGTCCCAGGACACGGAGCGGACCTCCGGGGCCAGAGCAGACTGTGGGCTGTTGCCCATCTGTGTCACATCCCCACCACCATCCCTCCTTCCAGTTAACAACTCCCCTCTGATCTTTCCCACACACTGTTTACATACCAGGGGGGTTTTCGGGGATGGGCTGGATGCTGTCCTGTGTGTGTAGGAAAGAGACTTTTGTGTCCTGAATCTCAACATTCGGGCGCAATAATGCCCTGTCACCACGGCAGGGAGACCAGAGAGGGGCCTCCAGGGGGACACAAGGTGCTTATACTCACCCTCTGCACGGGGTCCCCAGGAGAGAGCCACATGTGGGGGCAGGAAGGACAGGGCGGCTCCACGCCCTGCCAGGAATGTTCCCCAAGGGCCTCTCCTGCCAGTTGCACATCACCCAGCGGTGCCTGGCGGTGCTGCGAGCCCCGGGGAGGGTGTTTTCTCCCTTGCTGCTGCCTTCCGGCTCCTCCTCCACTCACTCCTCTCAAAACAAGAAGGTGATGACAATGAGCCATGGGCAAAGGCGCTGTTCTTCTTCCTCTTGAAGGAATGAGACACGTGGCGAGCTAGAAAGCTCTCAAGTCCAAGCTCCCCTCTGAGATCTGTACTGGGCGCTATGGGCCTGCATAGCACAGGCTTCCTGCTCATTGTGGGAGACTCACCTGCAAGATCCCCATCCAAGGGAAGACCAGCCTCCCTTGTTCTGGGAGAGGGGTGCTGCCGTGGACCCCCGGGACTGGTGACCTTGCCCTTCGCTGGCGTCCTTCGGTGAGGACACAGCCTGGGTGGGTGGAGAGGAAGCCCCACCCTAACCAGTGTCTTGGTCACAGTCTACTTCACATAGCTGTCTCTCAGCGCTGGCACTGTCTTCTTTGCTGGCCTCTGCCCCATAGCTTATGGGCGCAGTCCCACAGCAATGCCCTTCAACCCCGCAGATTCGTGAGTCCAGGTTGCCACACTGCTTCTGACTGACTGGCCATAGGCTGGAGGTTCCAGCACCTGCTCTTCAGGTCTGATTACTCTGGGAGAGCGGCTCCAGAGTGCAGAAGCACTGCACTTCTGAGCTCACTGGTTTACACGAAAGAGCAGGCCTGGGGAGCAGCCAGATGGAAAGCATGCCTGAGGTGGGGCAAGTGGCCACAGAGCTCCAGGCCCGACCAGCACCTCCCCGCGCCACCGCCCAGAAGCCCTCTGGACCCTGCCCTCCTAGATTTCTACTGAGGCCCCATTACATAGTGTGACCGATCATGCCACTGACAACTGATGACTGACCCCAGCTCCAGTCCCTCTGTCCTCCTCGAGGTCAGGGGTGAGGCTGCCAGTTCCCATCCTGTAATCACCAGCCCCATCCTTCAAGGCTTCCCCCAAAGCACCTGATTAACAAAGGCTCAGGTGTCGCTGACAGAGTGCCTGAAGAACTATGGACAGAGGTCCCCATTATATAGGAGGCAGTGAACAAAACCACCCCAAAGGAAAAGAAAAGCAAGAAGGCAAAGTGGTTATCTGAAGAGGCTTTACAAATAGTGGAAGAAGGAAGCAGGGGAGAGAGGGAAAGTTACATCCAATTAAACACAGAGTTCCAGAGAATAGCTAGGAGAGATAAGAAGACCTCCTTCAATGAACAGTGATTAATAACAGAAGGAAAAAACAAAAGAGGAAGGATGAGAGATCTCTTCAGGAAAACTGGAAACATCAAGGGAGCATTCTGCCCACAGATGTGCACAATAAAGGGTGAAAATGGTAGAGCCCTAGTAGACGCTGAGGAGATCAAGACGAGATGGAAAGAACACATGGAAGAACTGAATAAAAGAGATATTAATAAACTGGATTACTACAGTGGTGTGGTTCCTCACCCAGAGACAGACATTCTGGAGTGTGAAGTCAAGTGGGCCTTAAGAAGCACTGCTGTTAATAAAGCTAATGGATGCAATGAAATTCCAGCAGAACTATTCAAATCCCTAAAAGAGGATGTCATCAAGGTTTTGCGTTCATTATGTCAGCAAATGTGGAAGACCCAGCAGTGGCCACAGGACTGGAATAGGTCAATCCTCATCCCAAGTCCCAAGAAGGGTAGTACCAAAGGATGTGCTAACCACTGGACAATCACACTCATCTCCCATGCTAGTAAGGTCATGCTTAAAGTCTTGCATGCCAGGTTTCAGCATTATGTGAACCAACAACTTCCAGATGTCCAAGCTGGGTTTAGAAAAGGAAGAGGAACTAGAGATCAAATTACTAATATTTGCTGGATTAGAGAGAAAGCAAGGGAATTTCAGAAAAGTATCTATCTCTGTTTCATTGACTGTGCTAAAGTAAAACCTTTGACTGTGTGGATTATGACAAAACTGTGGAAAGCTCTTAGAAAGATGGGACTATCAGACCATCTTACCTGTCCCCTGAGAAACCTGTATTTGGGTCAAGAACAACAGTTAGAACCCTAAATGAAACAACTGATAGATTCAAGATTGAGAAAAGAGTACAACAGGGCTGTCTGCTGTCACCCTGTTTATTTAACCTATACACTGAGCACATTATGAGAAATGCCGGGATGGATGGGTTACAAGCTGGAATCAAGATAGGCGGGAGAAACATCAACAACCTCAGATATGCAGATGATACCACTCCAATGGCGGGAAGTGAAGAAGAATTAAAAAGCCTCTTGATGAGGGTGAAGGAGGAGAATGAAAGAGCCGGCTTAAGACTAAATATCAAAAAAATCTAAGATCACGGTATCCGGCCCCATTACTGCTTGGCAAATAGAAGCGCAAAAGGTGGAAGTAGTGACAGATTTCCTCCTCTTGGGCTCCCAAATCACTGCAGATTGTGACTGCAGCCATGAAATCAGAAGATGACTGGCAGGAGATTTCTTGGCAGGAAAGCAATGACAAACCTAGATAGTGTGTTGAAAAGCAGAGACATTACTCTGCCGACAAAGGTCCATATAGTCAAAGCTATGGTCTTCCCAGTGGTCAGATACAGTTGTGAGAGCTGGACAGTAAAGAAGACAGAACACCAAAGAATTGATGCCTTCACACTGTGATGCTGAAGAAGACTCCTGAAAATCCCTCAGACAGCAAGGAAATCAAATCAGTTAATCTTAAGGGAGATCAAAGCCTGACTATTCATTGGAAGGACTGATGTTGAAGCTGAAGCTCCAGTATTTTGGTCATGTGATGTAAACAGACTTATTGGAAAAGTCCCCAGTGCTGGGAAGTATTGAGGGCAGAAGGAGAAGAGGGCATCAGAGGATGAGATGGCTGGACAGCATCACTGATACAATGAACATGAACATGGGCAAACTCCAAGAGATGAGGGACATGGAAGCCAGGCATGCTGCAGTCCGTGGGGTTGCAAAGAGTCAGGCACCACTGGGTGACTGAACAACATCAGGTGTCCTGGTCATGGATCCTGCAGACCTCTGTATGTTGTCATCACCGAGGAGACCTGAGACTTTTAGGAGCTTTGGGGGGACACGAGTGGGCATCTTCCGGGCAGGAAAACCCCTCTCCTCTAGACTATCCAGCGGCAGACCTCTTCACCAGGTCCCAGGCCCGCGGTTGGGAGGGGACAGCAAAGACCAGGCCAGACAGCTCCGTCAGGGCAGGGTCAGTGTGGGGACCTCCAAGCAGGAGGCCCTGGGCGGCACGGAGGATGCTGGGGGCAGCGCTGCGCTGACTCGGGTCTCGGTCCCTCTTAAGCCTACAGCCTGGCCTGAGCATGTATTTCGAGGACAGTGGCTGAGAGTGAGAAGAGATGCTGGGGGTGGGGTGGGGACCGATCTCTGCAAGGGTGACGGGGGCCCGGGTGTCATGTCCTCACATCAGTGCTGTCTGGCTCTGGAAACAGAGCTCGAAGTTTACCTCTAAGTCTCTGTGTCGGCGGGGGTGGGGCCTCGGGGGTGGGGTCTCGGGGCGGGGCCGCGGGGCGGGGCCTCGGGGGCGGGGCCTCGGGGCGGGGCCGTGGGGCGGGGCCGCCAGCCTAACACTCACTACCGGTTCTGCCATCTTGTTTTCCCCGGCTCTGTGAGGTTGTCCGGCTCCCCTGCTCGCTGTTGTGAGGAGAATGGAGTGCTTACTCCGCCAGGGACGTGCTGCAGCTCTGGTGGAAGGCGCTGCCTTCCGGTCAGGCGTGCTCCAGCCCTGGGCCAGGGCTCTGGGCCGCCTCTGAGGGGCCCCGTGCTCTCACCCGCAGGGCCCAGCACGAGGGCACCCAGGCAAGACTCACGGTGGACACGATTTTTGTGCATCTGCAGCTCCCTTGGGGACTTCCCACACATGATAATAAAGTTTAGATCCTTGATATTTCTGAAACCTTCAACAGCTGTTTAGAAAATTAAGATTTGAGTGAGCATTTACCTCACAGAATGGTTTTTAAAAAAGATATGTTAATGAGATACCTTACACAAATGTCACCCCATTAAGGCACCATTTTCCAAAATATCAGGTGTTAAGTCAATATGATCTCTATTTAATTTGGGGCTCACTTCTTTTATCTTAAGATAAAATGTGAATTTCTTCTAGAAGGCTTTTGCACAAAAAAAGTCAAAACCAAACATGTGTGACTCATTCTCATTTAATTCCAGTGGACACATCCCCGAGGGACACTGCTATCCTTAAAGTCAGGTGTACATCTTCAATAGTGCACCCAGAAACCGGTTCTTCTCATGCCAAAATTTGGTAAATCTGTCAGAAAATGCTAAGGGGTGGCAACCTCACCAGCAGGATTCAATGTGCTTATGAACTGACTAAAATTAAGTTGAAATGATTTCAGATTCTAAGTTGACAGTGTTAAATTAATTTGAAAGATAATGTATTAGACATAAATCACACAGAATATTATTTAAATTGATAAGCACGTTTAATTTTTATTTCAGCATTTTTGGTTTAGATTCAGCATGGAACTGTAGTCAGACAAACAGTAATGAAAATATCGATTAGACGAAAATTGGGGGAATTGGAATGTTTTTCAACGTAGTGGGTGGCCAATCACAAAGGAGAAAATGCTAAATAAATACTGTAGACTTTTATTTTCCCTTAAAGAAAAGTGAACATGAAGGTACTTTTCTTCAAAGTTATACTTGGAATATGCTTACCTGCACTCAGGCATTTGTCAGCTTTAACATTTGTCCTTTAAAGCCTAGAGTTCCCAGCATAATTAAGTTATTCTTTACCCTTTGTGAACTAGAATAGCAATACTTTTTTTAAAACTTCAAAAGTAACATCTAGATACTTTTTGAAGTTAGTATCCATATTGTATGTGCCTGTGAAATATTTAAAATCTGCATCTTAATCTTCAAAGTGAAAAAGGTGATGACTCATCTCTAGGAAAATCACTCTGGCAGAAGAATTAAATTCTGCGTAAGCAGCAGAAGCTGAAAGTAACAAGGATCCACGGAAACATTTCCAGGAAGAGCCAACAGCAGGCGCTCGGCCCTAAATACTGGAGTGGCCTGACGGGACCAAGGCCCCCAGCAGTCCTGGAATGAGTCCCTTCTCAC